TACTCCTCCCACTGACACCAGTGATGGGGCACTACTCCCCCCACACTGACACCAGTGATGGAGCACTACTCCCCCCCCACTGACACCAATGATGAGGCACTATTCTCCCCTCCACCACACTGACATCAATGATGGGGCACTATTTCTCCCCCACTGACACCAACGATGGGGCACTATTCCCCCCCCCCCCACTGACACACCAACGATGGGACACTATTATTTTCCCCCCCCCCTGACCCCAATGATGGGGCACTATTCTCCCCTCCACCACACTGACATCAATGATGGGGCACTATTCCTCCCACTGACACCAATGATGGGGCACTATTCCTCCCACTGACACCAATGATGTGGCACTATTCCTCCCACTGACACCAGTGATGGGGCACTCCCCCCACTGACACCAGTGATGGGGCACTATTCCTCCCACTGACACCAATGATGGGGCACTACTCCCCCACTGACACCAATGATGGGGCACTACTCCCCCCACTGACACCAATGATGGGGCACTATTCCTCCCACTGACACCAATGATGATGTGGCACTATTCCTCCCACTGACACCAGTGATGGAGCACTACTCCTCCCACTGACACCAGTGATGGGGCACTACTCCCCCCACTGACACCAGTGATGGAGCACTACTCCTCCCCCACTGACACCAATGATGGGGCACTATTCCCCCCACTGACACCAATGATGGGGCACTACTCCTCCCACTGACACCAATGATGGGCACACTACTCCTCCCACTGACACCAATGATGGGGCACTACTCCTCCCACTGACACCAATGATGGGGCACTATTCCTCCCACTGACACCAATGTTGTGGTACTATTCCTCCCACTGACACCAGTGATGGAGCACTACTACTCCTCCCACTGACACCAGTGATGGGGCACTACATACTCCCCCCACTGACACCAGTGATGGAGCACTACTCCCCCCACTGACACCAATGATGGGGCACTACTCCCCCCACTGACACCAATGATGGGGGCACTACTCCTCCCCTGACACCAACGATGGGGCACTATTCCTCCCACTGACACCAATGATGGGGCACTATTCCTCCCACTGACACCAGTGATGGGGCACTATTCATCCCACTGACATCAGTGATGGGGCACTATGCATCCCACTGATACCAACGATGGGGCACTATGCATCCCACTGACATCAGTGATGGGGTACTATTCATCCCACTGACATCAGTGATGGGGCACTATTCCTCCCACTGATACCAATGATGGGGCACTATTCCTCACACTGATACTAATGATGGGGCACTATTCCTCCCACTGATACCAACGATGGGGCACTATTCCTCCCACTGATACCAACAATGGGGCACTATTCATCCCACTGACATCAGTGATGGGGCACTACTCCTTCCACTGACACCAATGACATGGCACTACTCCTCCCACTGCAAAATGACAGTTATGAAGTAGCAATGAAAATAATTTTATGGTTGGGGGTCACCACAACATGAGGAACTGTATTAAGGGGTCGTGGCATTAGAAAGGTTGAGAAACCACTGCTCTATAGGTACAGTGAGCATGCATGTTTTTGAGATAGGCTATAAAATAAGATGAGATCAGATCATGCCTTCTTGTTTACAGATTTTTTTTATTGGCATTTTGTAAATGCTTGACATATGAAAAATGCATCTTCTAATAGAACTTTGGCTGCAGTTCAGATGTACCTTTATAGTACATGCTGTTATCAGAGAAATGCAGCACAATGCAAAATAGGTCAAAGGCAGCCTCTCCTGTGTTTGACGTGAGTACCAAGTGCGGGAAAACATGACAAATCAACATGAGCCTTAAGACATGGAAAACATCAACATGGTTTGGCCTTGATGTGGTACCCTAATGCAAACATGCAGATCTGTGCTTTTTTATTTTCTGCAATTCTTCAAGATCAGAAATTGCTTGCAACATTGCCCTCTAGTGGAATATCTGTACAATTACTGTGAAATGTGAAAAAGCACTTCGGCATGTGCTATAAGAAGTATGGCTACCAGCTGTTCACTGTACTAGAAAGTGACAAAAAAGCTATATCCCTACAGAAATATATTACTATAACTGTACATCACAACAATTTTTGTATGCCACCTAGAACATGTTTAGAAACTGTATTTCTCCATGCATAATTGGAGCTGTATATTTGTATATAGTAATGGGTCAACCTCTGTAGGTTCAATTCACCAAGGAATCTGCCAGTGTTGTTTTAAATTTGATGACCAAGAGCTTAGACGTGAATCCTACTGAAGTCTCCAGGCAAATCTTGTTGAATTGTAGCAATTTTAAGGGGGTAATAGGCAAACTACCCTTAAAGAAAAAAATATGGCAAGCCGGAATTTGCCATGGAGGACATGTACCAAAGCAAAACATATTAGAGAAAATTTCATAAGCAGAGAGAGGATATTGTCTTTGCAAGTTTGAGGGTAAAACACTACATTTCAGTACAAAATATAAAAGAGTGAATTTTAGGGCACATAAACACAATGGGGTTGATTTTCTAAAACTGGAGAGTGCAAATTCTGGAGCAGCCCTGCATAGAAAACAATTGGCTTCCAGTTTTTGGATTTTTTTTGCCAAACCTTAATTGAACAAGCTGAAGTTAAAAGCTGATTGGCTACCATGTACAGCTACACCAGACTTTGCATTCTCCAGTTTTAGTGAATCAACCCCATTATATTACCCAATTTTTATAAAAATATAAAGATGAGGTTGTTCCGAGTAAATAGATACCAAACATATCAAGCGCTAGAATTGTGTGCACCAGTGAAACAGTGATAAGCTTTGGTACCCTATATTTTCCATAGACAATGCTTTAAAAGCCCCTACAGATCACCAGTTTGGAGTTATCTATAAATCATCAGCCTAGAATTATCGTTTTCACTCCAGCATGTGCGGGAATATGTAACATGTGTAGTACATTTGATGTTTCCATGTGTAGGCGTGTGCATTTAGATTCATCTGTGCATGTATATGGGGGCCTCAGAAATGTTTTGGGGGTATTTTAAGTTCTTGGGTGCAGCTTTTTTTTTTTTTACCTTTTTTTACTTTTTTTTTTAATCACATAGGGGACAAAAATTCCCCTATGTGATGTATTTTTGGTTACATGATCTCTTTAATGGGACATCAGAGGTTCAAAAAACCCTTGATGTCTCAAACGTCCTCCAACAAAATGGAATGCAGATCACACTAGCCAGCCATATTGGGGACCAGGACCCAGAAGTAATGTTTTACACATTGCTTCTGGGTCAGTAACAGGAAGAGGAGATAAGTGAGTGGACGCTCGCTGATCGCCTTCCCCTCCACCCACTGGCACCTGCCATGCTGGTCCAACTGCATGGATGGGTGTGTGAAGCTCAGGAAACATTGGGGGGGCAGGCGGCCATTACTGGGGTGTGTAGAAGCTTCCATCTGACAGCCATCAGTTGGCTTGTCAGATTTACACACATGTATGGCATACTGTATATTGGTGGCAATAAAAGGGTTAAATAGCATGTTTGGGGGATCCCTTAAAACTATATGCCGTGTTACAGAACATTACAGTTTTCACTGACAGTTGCAGTGACAGCTGAGCGCAGTTTCAGTGACAGTTCACTTGGCTTACACACAGCAGCAGCACCCCAATCTAAACAATTTCAGTTTGAAAAAGTTTTTGTTTAGGTAGCTTTATCAGTAACACATGCTTTTTTATCAAACAGTAATAGGTTTGTTTTGACTGGCAGATAAACTGGCCAGTAGTTCACTGTGGCTGGAAAAACAACAAACAAAAGCAGTAAAAGGGGTTGATTGCTAAAGGAGCTAGCAGTTAGAATTACATTACAGTTTCCTAACTGACCATCACATCTCCCAAAGCATTTTGTCAGCTTTCCCTATCCATTCCCTGGAACCGTGAATCTTGACCCTCAAACCCATAGTAGCAGGCAACCTGAGCCTCATCTCTTTTACCATTATATTTTGTATTCATTGCATATCATTGTTCATTTATGTGTTCAAATTATTTAACTGAATGCTGCTTGTCTGTGACTCATATTTCTTCTGAGTACAGTGTTACAAACAGATACATGCATAATTAACAACCTTACAATTAATCCTTAATGCACTGCAAGGCAGCCTTTTGTTTTCACTGTTAAATGCTAATGTTCACTTGTTGTTCTCTGGAACTTGTGAAATATTTTACATACAAATTAACTATTGTTTCATTTATTTATGAGACACCAGATACTCTCTGTAACACTATGAAACTGGCAGACTGGTACTATTAATCATCTGTTACAAGGAATGGGGAACTCTACAGTAGGGATATATCAGCTGACATTGGATTCCCTGGGATTCAGCAAAATCTCAAAAACCTGAATTGAAGGACCATCTGTTGTTGACACATTCTGCTAAAAACAACAGGCTAAAATGCCAGGAATATCTATTTAGGGGAATTTATAAAGATTGTCTATGACACTGTTTGGAATTCCATCTTGCCTCTGCACAACAAATGTCATTCAAGCGCCTGTTGCGGTGCCCTAAGACTAGAGTGACCATACGAGGTCAAGATGCTTGGGGGATGCACTGCGAGTGGAGGGGCATCGAGATCAGAGTATATATGCAGACGCTCCGTTCGCAATGCAGTTGAGCTTCTTCCCCATGGCTGCACCTGTCACACAGAGAGCAGCGGCTAAGGAGTTTTAAAGGTGGGTAGGCAGAGCCTGATGGGGATTCACAGACAGTAGTTCCCCATTGTGATTGGCAGTGAGCAGATCCATAGCCAATAGACAGTCTGCTATTGGCTATATCAGGGCTTAAAATTTCAAGTCCTGAGCTACTAGCCAGGCCTTAGAGTTACTCGCCACCAACAAACACACAAAGAGAGACCTGTACACACACACAGACATGTTCATACACATACACACACAGAAACATGTACACACACGCACAGAGACACATGTACACACACACACATACAGCCACGTATACACACACAGGCACTTACAGACAGTACATACACACACATGTACATACACAGAAATACACATGCACAGACACATGTACATACATACACAAACACATGTACACACAGACACATGTACGTACATACACACAGACACAGACACACACACACACACATGTACACACACACACACAGACACATGTATACACACACATACATGTACATACACATGTACAGATACACACATGTACATACACACAGACACATGTGCAATTGTACATGCATACACAGACACACACAAACACACACACACCCATAAAAAGTTGCAGTACTTCATTGTTCACTCACAGAGCCAGGTACTGCACTCTAGGGGGAGGCAGAGAGCACAGCACACACTCCTTGCTTTGCTTTCACTGCGCTCAGCTATTTTTTTTTTTTTTTTTTTAATTTAAATATTTATTATTTTTTCACAGTAATAACATTAAAAAAAAAAAAAAAAACATTTTCATCTCAATCATCATATATATACAATTATTTCTTATTACTTTATTTTTCCCCTCTTAAAACCTTTTCCCCTTCCCCCCCTAGCCCCCCCCCCCCCCCCCCACTCTGCATTTTCATTATCTTTTATCCAAAGCAAGCGTATCTTATCCATCTATCCATTCTATGACTTTTTACTTTTCACTTTCTCATATTTGTTACAAAGTTTTCCCATTTTTCCCATTTCACGAGATATACCTCCAGCTTATCTTCCTGCATATAATATGACTTCTCCATCTTGCTAGTCCAATTTACTCTTTCTATCCACTCCTCCTCTTTTGGTATTTCTTTTTTTTTTTCCAATACGTGGGGATCAGGCTTTTTGCCGCGTTCAAATAGTACCCTAAACCTAATTTCTTATATTTGCTAACTGATAGCTCTGAACTATGTAACAGGCACATCCCTGGATCTAACCCGATGTTCATTTCAATGATGGTCTCTATTAAATATACTATTGTTTTCCAGAATATTTGAATTTTTGGACATTCCCACCATATATGATACACTGTCCCCACTTCCCCACATTCTCGCCAACACCATTGTGATTTCTCCCCACTTATCTTACATTCTACACTCGGAACAATATACCATCTTGTCAAACATTTATAATTTGTTTCTACATCCCTGAAACTTACATTTCCGTGAACTAATCTATTTATTTTTTTCAGTTTTTCTTCATCTAATACCACCCCCATATCTCTTTCCCATTTCACTATGTGCATTGGTTTAGTGTTTGTGTCTAAATCTGTGAGAATTCTATATATTTTAGCTATTCCGTGTTTCCTATCACCCTGTGCATCCAGCAACCTTTCAAACAAATTCCAATCCTTTTTCATTCTCAGGGGTTTTGGGAGGTTTCCCCAAAAACATTTTAATTGATAGTAACACCACTCATCTAGCCTATTGAAAATATTTCCCTTTTCCTTTTCCAACTCTTTAAAGGTCTTCAATTTCCCTTCCCCCATTATGTCTCTAAGTTGGACATCTTCCTTTATAAACCATCTACCTGTTATCTCTTCTCTACCTGGGGGAAAAAATTCCGTGTTTCTTAGTATAGAGTTAAATTCCCATTTCATATATCTGTGTATTTTATCCCATTCCCTTAACACGTTTACAGTGTACAAACTTAAATCCTCCTTCAATCCTCTATATTGTGCCGGTAACCATATTATTCTATTCAAATTAGTTCCACTGAGTGTATTTTCAATTTTTACCCAACTTTTCCCCTCTAAATTGAACGTCCAGTCAAAAATTCTCCCTAATATTACTGCTTTGTAATATCTCTTTATATCTGGTACTCCCCCAGACCACCCTTCTCTTTATCTCTACTTAATATTTCATGGGACACCCTCGGTTTTTTCTTCCTCCAGATATATTTTGTTATCATTCTTTTTATTACTTTAAAAAAAGCTTCCGGGAGTTTAATTGGGATCATTTGAAATCTATATAAAATTTTTGGTACAATTATCATTTTTACCAGGTTTATACGTCCTAACCATGATGGAAATCCTCTTTCTAAAGTTTTTAATTCCCCCTTCACTTCATTTAATAATGAAATATAGTTTAGTTTATACAAGTTCTTATACGCCGCACTAAGCCTTACTCCCAAGTATTTTATATCTCTTTTTTTCCAAATGAAGGGAAATTCTTTTTGTATTTTTTCTTTTTCGCTTTTTGGGATATTTATGTTTAAGATCTCAGGTTTTTTTTGGGTTGATTTTTAAGTTTGTTAGTTCCCCATATTCCTTCAGCAGTTTCATTAGATTTGGGAGTGTTATCCTGGGATTCCCCACATAAAACAGCAGATCATCGGCAAAAGCTGCCACTTTATGTTCTACGTTTCCTATCTGAATTCCCCTTATATCTCCATTCTTCCTTATTGTTGACAGAAGAGGCTCTAATGACATAACATATAATAAGGGGGATAGAGGACAGCCCTGCCTTGTTCCATTTGACATCCCGATGGGCTCTGTTTTTTCCCCATTTATTATCACCACTGCGGAGGGCTTACTGTACAGATTTCCAATCCATTCCCTCATTCTAACTCCAATTCCCAGGGCTTCTAAGGTATCCATCATGAAGCCCCAGTCTACTCTATCAAAGGCCTTTTTGGCGTCAATCGAGAGGGCCACCGCTGGTATCTCCCCTTTTTTACTTCTCTGTATCAGCATCAGGGATCTCAACCCATTGTTCCTGCCCTCCCTTCCTGGGACAAAACCCACCTGATCTCCATGTATCCATTCAGGCATAAGCTCCTTCAATCTATTCGCCAAGACCTTTGCATATAGCTTGGTGTCTAAATTCAACAATGAGATTGGCCTGTAACTCGAACACTGTGAGGCATCTTTCCCTTCTTTATGTAACAATACCATGTGAGCCTGTAAAGATTCTCCCCTTATGTCCATCTCTCCTCCCAGGGCATTCATATATTTTTCCAATTTGGGAATCAATATTTCAGTAATTTTTTTATAGTACCCTGCTGTATAGCCATCCGGTCCTGGGATTTTCCCCGTCTCCATACTTTTTACTGCTACTTTTATCTCTTCTTGTGTGATTTCTGCTTCAAGGGCATTTAGTTGGTCTTCTTTTAGTTTCAGTAGTCCCGCATTTTTTAAATATATCTTCCTTTTTTCCCTTTTTTTCTTTTTCCATATTATTTACTACCTCGTATGGGTTGATATTATACAACTTCCTGTAATAATCCACAAACACCTTTGCGATCTCCTTATTTGAGTGGACCAATTCTCCCTTGGGGCTTTTTATTTTATCTATATAGTTCCTATTTTTTTTTTTCTTTAAGGTTTTGTATCCTGCAGAGCCATACAAAGCAGTGTGCAGGAGCTGCCAGGGGAGAGATCTGTATTGATTACATACAGGTCTCTCCCCTGTTGGTAATACTCGGAGATCACCGGGTGCTGGCGGGAAATCACCAGGCAGGACCCGGTGATTGACAGCCGAGTCTGCCAAATGGTGGCGCGGGTAGGGTGCCCCCTACCCGAAACTACAAAATCACGTGTGTGTGTATATATATATATATATATATATATATATACATACATATATATATATACATATATATATATATATATATATATATATATATATTGTGACAGTGTGACGATCTGTCACCCAGGATTCTCAACTAGGCAGGTTGAGGGGCTCCAGGGTAAGTGTTTGATACGGAGGAAAGTGGCTTTTCACTTTCCTCCTTTGTTTGTAAGGTCTGTTGTTTTGGGATCTGGAGCCTGGAGATTTCAAAGAGATCTGGGAGGGATGAAATCTCCAATCCTGGGACCAGGTTTTCGGAATGGCCAGGAGACTGATTGCACAGATGTGTGCAGGCCTTTTCAGAGAGTCAGGATCAGAGTTCTGGGCTCCACCCCGGCAGATAGGAGTCAGGAGGGCTCCACTTGGAAGACAGGAGGTCACTGCCTGGAAGTCAGATGGGCTTCACCTAGGAGAGGTGGAAGCCAAAAGCAGCAAGGGGCTGCTAGAGACTAGCTGTGTGCTAGAGGCCAGCGGTGTGCAAGTGCCATATTTTGGAAAGAAGTCTGCAGGAGACAGACATCAAGCTGAGTATAAGCCAGGAGGCTGAATCGTTGTTTTGTTTGATGGTGGATACCACTGCGTGGGAAGCTTTATGCTATGGGACATTTGTTTAAATAAAATGGGGCAAAAAGGCCCTTAAAGAAGCAAGTCGCTGTGTGCTTTAAATGAAAAGCTCTACCACTTTGAAGCGAGATTCCCACAATATATACACACACATATATATATATATATATATATATATATATATATATACAGTGGGGATCGAAAATTTGGGCACCCCAGCTAAAAATTTGTATTAATGTACATAAAGAAGCCAAGGAAAGATGGAAAAATCTCCAAAAGGCATCAAATTACACATTAGAAATTCTTATAATATGTCAACAAAAGTTAGATTTTATTTCCATCATTTACACTTTCAAAATAACAGAAAACGAAAAAATGGCATCTGCAAAAGTTTGGGCACCCTGCAGAGTTAATATCTTGTACTGCCCCCTTTGGCAAGTATCACAGCTTGTAAACGCTTTTTGTAGCCAGCCAAGAGTCTTTCAATTCTTGTTTGAGGTATCTTTGCCCATTCTTCCTTACAAAAGTCTTCCAGTTCTTTGAGATTTCTGGGCTGTCTGTCACGCACTGCTCTTTTAAGGTCTATCCATAGATTTTCAATTATGTTGAGGTCAGCAGATTGTGAAGGCCATGGCAAAACCTTCAGTTTACGCCTCTTGATGTAATCCCCCGTGGATTTCGAGGTGTGTTTAGGATCATTATCCATTTGTAGAAGCCATCCTCTCTTTAAATTCAGCTTTTTCACAGATGGCATCAAGTTACCATCCAAAATTTGCTGAAATTTTATTGAATCCATTTTCCTTCTGCTTGTGAGATGTTCCCTGTGCCACTGGCTGCAACACAACCCCAAAACATGATTGATCCAACCCCATGCTTAGCAGTTGGACAGAGGTTCTTTTCATTAAATTCTGTGCCCCTTCTTCTCCAAACGTACCTTTGCTCATTCCGGCCAAAAAGTTCAATTTTAACCTCATCGGTCCACAGAACTTGTTTCCAAAATGCATCAGGCTTGTGTATATGTTCATTTGCAAAGTTCAAACGATGATTTTTGTGGTGAGGACGTAGAAGAGGTTTTCTTCTGATGACTCTTCCATGAAGACCATATTTGTACAAGTATCTCTTTATAGTGGAATAGTGTACCACAACTCCAGTGTCTGCCAGATCTTTCTGGAGGGATCGTGCAGTCAAACGTGGGTTTTGAATTGTTTTTCTCACAATCCTGCGAGCTGTTCTGTCTGATATTTTTCTTGGTCTTCCAGATCTTGCTTTAACTTCC